GCAGGCCAAGTAAATTAGTAAAGCAACAAGTACAACAACAATATTATACATACATACATGTATATTTTTGTATATACAATACATACATACTTACAGATACTGTGTTGCAACCTACTAACAAGTCCTAGCTGGTTGTAAATTATACATAAATTAGGGTAAAAATTTCACTACTAAAATGCCTATTTAAGCGACTGAAAACTTCATTGAAAATTAACCAAAAATTGAACCAAACACATACTACATACCAACAAAATGTTGTCAATGAATTTGTGTTCTAATACATACACACATATTTTAAGTACGCATTAATATATATACACATGTGTATGTATGTATATGTATAGACCTATTGTGGTTTTGACCCATTGGAAAGTTACAAAACATGATATTAACAATGATTCGTTCACGTATTAAATATCTGCCATGATGTGCCAAAATGTGAAGTAAAATCTGTCACAATGTAAAGAAATTTTTCTATAGAAAATCTGTCACAATATGAAGAAATTTTTCTATAAATAATCTGTCACAATGTGAAGAAAATCTGTTACAATGTGAAGAAAATCTGTCACAATATGAAGAAAATTTTCTATAGAAAATCTCTCACAATATGAAGTAAGTTTTCTATAGAAAATTTGTCACAATGTGAAGAAAATTTTCTGTAGGAACATCTGTCACAACATGAACAAATTTTCTATAGAAAATCTGTCACAATATGAAGAAAATTTTCTATAGAAAATCTGTCACAATGTGAAGAAAATTTTCTGTAGGAACATCTGTCACAATATGAAGCTAATTTTCTATAGAAAACATGTCACAATATGAAGCAAATTTTCTATAGAAAACCTGTCACAATGTGAAGGAAATTTTGTATAGAAAATCTGTCGCAATGTGAAGGAAATTTTCTACAGGAAATCTGTCACAACATGAAGCTAAAACAGCTGTCACAAATGAACTAACTTTTCTAAATAAAATCTGTCAAAGTATAATTTCGTCAGAAAATCTGTCACAATGACAAGCGAAGAAAATTTTCTATAAGAAATCTATCACGATTTAAAGCAAGTTTTCTATAGGAAATCTGACACATTGTGAAGCTGAAACATCTGTGACAATCTGCCGCAATGGGAAGTAACTTTTGTGTAGACATCTCTCAAATTGTCTATAGAAAATCTGTCATATTGACGACATTGAAACTCGGTCTCATTGTAAACTTAGATTTCCATAGAAACTCTGGCTGATTGTAAACTTAAATTTCCGTATAAAGTCAGTCAAATTGTAGACTAATTTTTATGTAAAAAATTTATCATATTCGGATCTATGAATTACAAGGTCGTACATGAGCTAGTCGAATGTCATTAGAAATTTCCAAGAGGGAAAAAGTTTTACATATAGTTAGTAGCTCAATTACTAATACCAAACTAATTTCAACACAAATACACATACATAAATACAAACATATTTACATGTAAAAGTATAGAGTATAAATGCCTATAAACATTGCCTAAAACCACTACAGTCAACCTTCGATTAGAGCAACTTCAAATAATAAAACTAATATTTCTAACAAAATAAAATGTCAACATAAATTCTAGGAAAAAAAAAACTGCACAAGGAGTTTTATTGAAAAGTTAAACAAATCGAGGGTTCACTGTATATTATTTACATTATATACGTAATAACAACAATAGCAGCAACAATACAATTAAGGAATAGAGAATGAGTTGTGGTAGTGCTATTGGTCGCATGAAAACAAAAGCCATTTAATAGGATTATATAAACAAGCTTCAGCATATAAACACTTAAGCAGACAAAATATAAAACTAATTTACCAAAAAAAAACAAAAAAAAATAAAAGAGAGACAATAACTACAGCAACGGCAACAACACCAACTAAAATCAAGCCAAAAACAAAAAAACATCAACGAGCAACAAGTAACTGGGATAAAATTAAAATTTATTAACTATATCAAGGCAAAGCAATCAAAATTTAAACAACAGCTACAGCAGCAGCATTACAACAACAACAACTGAACAAAATTCCCAAAAAAAATATTCCATAAATTTTTCATAAGCTGCTGATACACCACTGAAAACGAAAATAACAACAAAAATAAATTTCTGGGAAAATCAACTAGAAAATTTGCCAAAATAGCGCTGCATTGGAGAAAATTAAAAGAGCATATATTGCAAACACACTCAAATAAATCACCACATGAACAGGGCGCGGAGGCAACATCAACATATCGGGCATACGGAGGCGATATACAGCCATATCCAGAGCCTAATAATGTTGCTATAGAAAATAATCAACAACAACAGCAACAACAACATCATCATCAACAACAATCTTTACGTAGCAACAGTTTCTCTCTACAACTACAACAGACTCAAGGACAACAACAAAAATCTTTAACGTCTCCTCATCTAGACTCTCTTCAAAAAAATACTGACTTTCAAAGCTCCAATACAAAAGCCTCAATCACGGCGACTACAGCGGCAAGACGTTATTCCAGGTTCGAGAATACAGAGGCGTTGGAACGTCGGGTAAGTTCATCCAGTAGTGGCAGTGGCGGAGGTGGTGGCGGCGGCTCTAGATCATTAGCAGCATCTGCTCTAGCTGATATTATAACTGCGGATGTAGCTGTAACACCGCAACAGCAACAACAACAGCATACATTCGGTTCGAGAACTTACTCGGATGGCAGGGTAAAACGTGCCAGTATTTATGGTAGTGACGTAGCGGGAAAATTGACAACAACCGGTGGCAGCAGTTTGATAAAACGTCATAGTGGTACATTTACTGGGGGATTTGAATTAACATCGAATCGTGGACCAACAGGTAAATAATTAGATTTTTAAACAATTTTCTATAGAAAATGTAGCACAATGTGAAGAACATTTTCTATAGAAAATGTAGCACAATGTGAAGAACATTTTCTATAGAAAATGTACCACAATGGGAAGAACATTTTCTGTAGAAAATGTGTCTCATATTGAGAAGAACATTTTCTATAGAAAATGTGTCACAATGTGAAGAAGATTTTCTATAGAAAATGTATCACAATGTGAAGAAGATTTTCTATAGAAAATGTGTCACAATGTGAAGAAGATTTTCTATAGAAAATGTGTCACAATGTGAACAAGATTTTCTATAGAAAATGTGACACAATGTGAAGAAGATTTTCTATAGAAAATGTGTCACAATGTGAAGAAGATTTTCTATAGAAAATGTATCACAATGTGAAGAAGATTTTCAATAGAAAATGTATCACAATGTGAAGAACATTTTCTATAGAAAATGTATCACAATGGTAAGAACATTTTCTATACAAAATCTACAACAATGGTAAGAACATTTTCTATAGAAAATGTATCACAATGGGAAGAACATTTTCTATAGAAAATGTATCACAATGTGAAGAACATTTTCTATAGAAAATGTATCACAATGTGAAGAACATTTTCTATAGAAAATGTATCACAATGTGAAGAACATTTTCTATAGAAAATGTATCACAATGTGAAGAACATTTTCTATAGAAAATGTATCACAATGTGATGAACATTTTCTATAGAAAATGCGTCACAATGTAAAGAACATTTTCTATAGAAAATGTATCACAATGTGAAGAACATTTTCTATAGAAAATGTATCACAATGTGAAAAAGAAGATTTTCTATAGAAAACTGGTCACAATGTGAGAAAGAAGATTTTCTATAGAAAACGTGTCACAATGTGAAGAACATTTTCTATAGAAAATGTGTCACAATATGAAGAACATTTTCTATTGAAAATTTGTCACAATGTGAAGAAGATTTTCTATAGGAAATGCGTCACGATGTGAAGAAGATTTTCTATAGCAAATTTATCACAATATGAAGCAAATTTTCTATAGAAAATCTGTTACAATGTGAAGCAAATTTCTATAGAAAATATGTCACAATGTAAAGAAAATGTTCTATAGAAAATCTGTCATAATGTAAAGAAAATTTTCTATAAAAAATCTTTTACAAATTCAAGCAAATTTTCTATAGAAAATCTGTAACTATATGAAGAAAACTTTCTATAGAAATAATTCACAATGTGAATCAAATTTTCCATAGAAAATTTGTCACAATGTGAAGTATATTTTCTATAGAAATTCTGTCATAATGTGAAGCAAATTTTCAAAAGAAAATCTGTCACAATGTGAAGTAAATTTTATGTAGAAAATCTGTCACAAAAGGAAGTAAATTTTCTATAGAATATACATATATCACAATGTGAAGCAAATTTTCTATAGGAAATCTGTCACATTCTACTGTGAACCACTCTTATATACATAGATTCATATATTAAAGATTCTTCATATGAACTGATATTCTCAAATTTATCTTAAATTAAAAAAACTCACAACCATAAAACATGTCCTGTTGAGGTTTTGTTGCATAAGTGTTCATTATTTCGGAAATGGGACAAAATTTTTTTGCAAACTCTTTTTCAAAAAAATATTATTTACATTTTTCCAGCATGAATAATAAATGATGAAAGCAACTGACATACATACAAAAATGTTCAAAATGTTCTCCTTTCTCTCTATTTGGCAAAATATATGCTTCTTTTATTCTTTGTTTTTTTTTTTTCATTACAGGTGCCGTGAATGGCTTTGACAGTGGGAAAGTTTGGGATGGTGACAGTATACATCAACAACAACAACAACAACAGCAGCAGCAACAACAGTATTCAACAGATGCAACACAGGGTGGTAGTGGCTCATCATCATCAGCATACAATACAAGTACAGGTTCACCTATGAGACAACGTCTACCTTCACAATCGGGTCTCAATGATTTGAGTGGCAATACACCAGGCATATTTGTTGGTGGTTTAGGTGGCAGTAATATTTACAGCAACAATATACAAACACCCAGTACATTTAATATCGGAAGTGCAGCAAGTGGTGGTAGTAGTATTGGTACTGCTAGTGGAGCTGTTATTAGCAGCAGTAGTGTTGGAGGCAGTGCAGGTTCTATTGGAAGTAGTAGCGGTATTGCAGCGAATCTTACTAGTGGTGGTAGCAGTAGTGGCGGTGGCACTGCAGGCAGTGTTGGTAATACTATTAGCGCTCCAGGCAGTGGATCGAGTGGAGGAGCTGCAGGTGCTGGTCCCAGACGTCAGGGTAGTTTTACGAATGTTTTTTCGAAAATAATTGATGGTATGCCAGCCAGTACAATGTTTTCGAAATTCAAGAGTGTCAATACCCCCGTTACACAACAAACTGTCATCGAAGGTAATCCGATTAAGCAATATTTCGATATTGGCAAACAAGTGGCTTGTGCTGGTCCCGAGTTAGCTTGGAAAATACACGATGGCAGTCGGAAGAGTGATGGGAAGGTGGGTTATTAAAATTTGATTTAAATTATTTTAAATATAATGTGTATGATTTAAGGCGAGTGGTACGAAATTTGAAAAGTTTTGTAAAATTTAAGTTTTTTTGTTTTCTTCTTTATTAATTATTTTTTAGGAATGCTCAATATTTGTGTTTGAGAAAAAAGTTGCCGAAAAATTACACAAACCCAGACGCAAGGAAACAATAACGGAAATTTTAAAAAATTCAGTTAAAAATTTAGAAAGATTTCGACATCCTAAGGCAAGTCTCATAATATTTCAATGTAGTTCTATAATATAAAAAATATGCATGTTTATTATAACCATAATTTTATAAATAAATCATCAAAATATTTATTTTTTTCTTTAGATGCTTCAAATTTATCATACGGTAGAGGAATCTTCAGAAACATTGGCTTTTGCCACCGAACCAATTTTTGCAAGTCTGGCAATATATTAGCGTTTCATGTAAGTTAAGCAAAAATATTTCCAAAATTCATTTAGTATTACTTTTATATACTCTAAACCATAAACCAGGCTATAGGCTACAATATAGACTAGACTATAGACTAGACTATAGACTAGACTATAGACTAGACTATAGACTAGACTATAGACTAGACTATAGACTAGACTATAGGCTAGACTATAGACTAGACTATAGACTAGACTATAGACTAGACTATAGACTAGACTATAGACTAGACTATAGACTAGACTATAGACTAGACTATAGACTAGACTATAGACTAGACTATAGACTAGACTATAGACTAGACTATAGACTAGACTATAGACTAGACTATAGACTAGACTATAGACTAGACTATAGACTAGACTATAGACTAGACTATAGACTAGACTATAGACTAGACTATAGACTAGACTATAGACTAGACTATAGACTAGACTATAGACTAGACTATAGACTAGACTATAGACTAGACTATAGACTAGACTATAGACTAGACTATAGACTAGACTATAGACTAGACTATAGACTAGACTATAGACTAGACTATAGACTAGACTATAGACTAGACTATAGACTAGACTATAGACTAGACTATAGACTAGACTATAGACTAGACTATAGACTAGACTATAGACTAGACTATAGACTAGACTATAGACTAGACTATAGACTAGACTATAGACTAGACTATAGACTAGACTATAGACTAGACTATAGACTAGACTATAGACTAGACTATAGACTAGACTATAGACTAGACTATAGACTATAGACTATAGACTAGACTATAGACTAGACTATAGACTAGACTATAGACTAGACTATAGACTAGACTATAGACTAGACTATAGACTAGACTATAGACTAGACTATAGACTAGACTATAGACTAGACTATAGACTAGACTATAGACTAGACTATAGACTAGACTATAGACTAGACTATAGACTAGACTATAGACTAGACTATAGACTAGACTATAGACTAGACTATAGACTAGACTATAGACTAGACTATAGACTAGACTATAGACTAGACTATAGACTAGACTATAGACTAGACTATAGACTATACTATAGACTAGACTATAGACTAGACTATAGACTAGACTATAGACTAGACTATAGACTAGACTATAGACTAGACTATAGACTAGACTATAGACTAGACTATAGACTAGACTATAGACTAGACTATAGACTAGACTATAGACTAGACTATAGACTAGACTATAGACTAGACTATAGACTAGACTATAGACTAGACTATAGACTAGACTATAGACTAGACTATAGACTAGACTATAGACTAGACTATAGACTAGACTATAGACTAGACTATAGACTAGACTATAGACTAGACTATAGACTAGACTATAGACTAGACTATAGACTAGACTATAGACTAGACTATAGACTAGACTATAGACTAGATTATAGACTAGACTATAGACTAGACTATAGACTAGACTATAGACTAGACTATAGACTAGACTATAGACTAGACTATAGGACTAGACTATAGCTAGACTATAGACTAGACTATAGACTAGACTATAGACTAGACTATAGACTAGACTATAGACTAGACTATAGACTAGACTATAGACTAGACTATAGACTAGACTATAGACTAGACTATAGACTAGACTATAGACTAGACTATAGACTAGACTATAGACTAGACTATAGACTAGACTATAGACTAACTAGACTAGACTATAGACTAGACTATAGACTAGACTATAGACTAGACTATAGACTAGACTATAGACTAGACTATAGACTAGACTATAGACTAACTATAACTAGACTATAGACTAGACATATAGACTAGACTATAGACGAGACCTATAGACTAGACTATAGACTAGACTATAGACTAGACTATAGACTAGACTATAGACTAGACTATAGACTAGACTATACTAGACTATAGACTACTATAGACTAGACTATAGACTAGACTATAGACTAGACTATAGACTAGACTATAGACTAGACTAGAGACTAGACTATAGACTAGACTATAGACTAGGACTATAGACTAGACTATAGACTAGACTATAGACTAGACTATAGACTAGACTATAGACTAGACTATAGACTAGACTATAGTCTAGACTATAGACTAGACTATAGACTAGACTATAGACTAGACTATAGACTAGACTATAGACTAGACTATAGACTAGACTATAGACTAGACTATAGACTAGACTATAGACTAGACTATAGACTAGACTATAGACTAGACTATAGACTAGACTATAGACTAGACTATAGACTAGACTATAGACTAGACTATAGACTAGAATATAGACTAGACTATAGACTAGACTATAGACTAGACTATAGACTAGACTATAGACTAGACTATAGACTAGACTATAGACTAGACTATAGACTAGACTATAGTCTAGACTATAGACTAGACTATAGACTAGACTATAGACTAGACTATAGACTAGACTATAGACTAGACTATAGACTAGACTATAGTCTAGACTATAGTCTAGACTATAGACTAGACTATAGACTAGACTATAGACTAGACTATAGACTAGACTATAGACTAGACTATAGACTAGACTATAGACTAGACTATAGACTAGACTATAGACTAGACTATAGACTAGACTATAGACTAGACTATAGACTAGACATAGACTAGACTATAGACTAGACTATAGACTAGACTATAGACTAGACTATAGACTAGACTATAGACTAGACTATAGACTAGACTATAGACTAGACTATAGACTAGACTATAGACTAGACTATAGACTAGACTATAGACTAGACTATAGACTAGACTATAGACTAGACTATAGACTAGACTATAGACTAGACTATAGACTAGACTATAGACTAGACTATAGACTAGACTATAGACTAGACTATAGACTAGACTATAGACTAGACTATAGACTAGACTATAGACTAGACTATAGACTAGACTATAGACTAGACTATAGACTAGACTATAGACTAGACTATAGACTAGACTATAGACTAGACTATAGACTAGACTATAGACTAGACTATAGACTAGACTATAGACTAGACTATAGACTAGACTATAGACTACACTATAGACTAGACTATAGACTAGACTATAGACTAGACTATAGACTAGACTATAGACTAGACTATAGACTAGACTATAGAGACTATAGACTAGACTATAGACTAGACTATAGACTAGACTATAGACTAGACTATAGACTAGACTATAGTCTAGACTATAGTCTAGACTATAGACTAGACTATAGACTAGACGACGACTATAGACTATAGACTAGACTATAGACTAGACTATAGACTAGACTATAGACTAGACTATAGACTAGACTATAGACTAGACTATAGACTAGACTATAGACTAGACTATAGACTAGACTATAGACTAGACTATAGACTACTAGAGACTAGACTATAGACTAGACTATAGACTAGACTATAGACTAGACTATAGACTAGACTATAGACTAGACTATAGACTAGACTATAGACTAGACTATAGACTAGACTATAGACTAGACTATAGACTAGACTATAGACTAGACTATAGACTAGACTATACTAGACTATAGACATAGACTAGACTATAGACCTATACGATATAGACTAGACTATAGACTAGACTATAGACTATACTATAGACTAGACTATAGACTAGACTATAGACTAGACTATAGACTGACTATAGACTAGACTATAGACTAGACTATAGACTAGACTATAGACTAGACTATAGACTAGACTATAGACTAGACTATAGACTAGACTATAGACTAGACTATAGACTAGACTATAGACTAGACTATAGACTAGACTATAGACTAGACTATGACTAGACTATAGACTAGACTATAGACTAGACTATAGACTAGACTATAGACTAGACTATAGACTAGACTATAGCTAGACTATAGACTAGACTATAGACTAACTATAGACTAGACTATAGACTAGACTAGAGACTAGACTATAGACTAGATATAGACTAGACTATAGACTAGACTATAGACTAGACTATAGACTAGACTATAGACTAGACTATAGACTAGACTATAGACTAGACTATAGACTAGACTATAGACTAGACTATAGACTAGACTATAGACTAGACTATAGACTAGACTATAGACTAGACTATAGACTAGACTATAGACTAGACTATAGACTAGACTATAGACTAGACTATAGACTAGACTATAGACTAGACTATAGACTAGCCTTTAGACTAGGCTATACACTAGTCTAGTCTACAGTCTGACTACTATGTGGACTACTAAGTTTATAACTTATAAAAAGTTCTGAATAAGTCGTGGGGTACCACGGTTTTCTCAATAAAAAAAGTAATGAGAAAAGTACTTTGTTTTGTTTGGTACTTTTTTTTGAAAATGGAATTCATTAAGATAAGGGAAACGAAGCGATGTGCATAATATTATTGCGTTTTTCAATTCATTTACCTTTGAATTGATTCAAAATATGATGATATAATATTTAACATTTAAACAAATAAATCTACTTAATATTGTACTAATAAAGCATATTTAAATAGATTTTCATTATTACCATTTTAATAATAGTTTTAATTCGAAAAACATTATTATGCATAATAAATGTGAATGATTATTTAATTCGATATTCATAGGAATCCAAAACATATGAAAATGTCATCCCACCAAATACTGGCAATAATCAGTCAATGCAACAATCACAAACACCAACGCCCATGAGGCCAACACATGCCAAAGACTATACATTTTTGGATATTGAATTAAAATGTGGATTTTTACAGGTAAATTAAAATAGTAAATTCCACGTGTTTATATAAATATAAATCAATAAATATGTTAATATTCATGCGTTTTTTATTAAATAAACAGTTAATAGAAGCAATAACATTTTTACATTACTCTGGGCATGTTATACATCGGAATATCTGTCCATCCTCAATATTAATTACAAAACGGGGTACCTGGAAATTAGCTGGTTTAGAATTTTTAGGTAATATATGATCGATGTACTACATGTGTAATATATGATCGATGTACATGTGTCCTTCAGTTATCAAAACTAGTTTAAGGAAAATCATGTTTAATTAAATTTGTTTAAGAAAATTGTTTTTAATTTATAGAAAGAATGAATGAGACTGATATAAATGAATCCATCACATGTCAACCGTGGACAACACGCAGTTCAAAAATGGCCCAGCCAAATTTGGATTTTATGCGTAAGTTTAAAGAAGCAATTTTAAAATCTTTAAATTTCATAAAAAAAATATTATTTCTCTTAATTTAATTCTTGATATTTTTCTTATTTTTTTTGATTTCTACTTTCAGCACCTGAAACTCAAATACATTCCAAATGTAGTCTTCTTAGTGACATGTTTTCTTTAGGTTTAGTAATCTGTGCTGTTTTTAACAGAGGACGTCCCATTATCCAAGCAGGCAATATACCAGCCAACTATATTAAACAATTGGAAATGGTAAGTTTCGTATTACCACTCTTCATACAACCAACACTTACACGCTCTCTCCCTTCCGCATCCACCCACTTACTCAATTACTAAGTACCAGTGTCGGTAACAGTTGTCGTTAGCAACAAGTGTTTTTTCTTATTTCTTTTCCTTTACATTTTTACATTTCTATTCTCTAAGTCCTCTAAGAATAAAAAGCTAATTTAATTTTTTTAAGAAATTACAAGAAATGTAAAGCTTCCCAGCAAAACTTTCATTGAAAAGTAATGAGTTAAGTTAAGAAAAACACTTTTCATTGCTACTTCATTAGTATTTTAACTCATAATTTTAGCAAGGTGATGACATTGGTTGACAAGTACTTATCACGCTCACTTACAAATAACTACTTTAATAAGTACTTACAAATAGGGAGTTATATTTATGTAAGTCGTTATAAGACTACTTAAAAGTAAGCAGTAGTCTTTGAAAAGTAAGTGGTTATTTAAGTACAAGTCATTACCGAGAACGTATCTAATTACATATCATTTTTTGCAACAAAAAAAAGTGATGATTTTCTTAGTTTCATATCTTGCAAACCGTTCGGAATTTTGATTTACTCTCTGAGGCTTATATAAACCCTTCACCTTCGTGAGGACCAACATGCCGTGTTGGCCTATCTCACGGTGGTCTTTTTCAACCACTGGCTGAGCTTTGTGACGATTCCACCGCCCCCTTACTCTTCAATGAAGATATCAGCTGGCAATTTTCGTACATGGCTAAGCCGGTCCATGTACAAGCACTTTGCTGGAGTAGTCGGGATATCTAATCTCTTGCCATAGTAGACCCGTTGGGGAAGGACATATATTATGAACAAGCTCAATCTAACCCCGACAAAGGAAAAGGCAAAGACTGGTTAGAGTCAATAGAAAGGGCGTACCCCCCCTCGGGCAACAGCACCGAGAAACTTCCCCGAAGCGTAAAAAGGCATACTTAATCAGTACTAGTCTCCAATATATGGGGACTTTCCCAAACTTTCAACAATTTTTGAATCAGTTCCATTCCCATGATCATAAAGATCTTTCTACGAAATGACAGGCAACTACTGAATATTAACCTGACAATTTCCCAGCATATACTGGCTCCCTACTACACGACCGGTAGGAAATACCGATCGGGTTGAGGAATCCAGCATATGCTGGTCTGTACACAGACCTGTGTCATTTGAATAGAAAATTAGCCAACTCATTATATATAGGGTATATCAACCCTTAAACCAACAATCTCTCCCCGCGAATTTGGGTTTAAACTACAGCCAGTAAGTGGATTCCGAAGGAACCTCAACCAACTGACCAGCCAGGACAAGTCTTGCGGGTAATTGGCCACCCGTAGTGCCAGATTATGTGGTTCTCTGGTTAGACCCCATGTCAAATCATAGCCGAGGAGTGAAGTGACATCACCAGTTTATAGTCCCGGCAGACTACAGGTACTGGTAGCACCTCTTTACCCCGGGATTGCAATACACCATGATTGGACATTACATCATGGAAACATGAGAAGGGTATATAGAAGTTTATCATTCCGTTCGAAATGTCTATAATATAATTTTCCGACACTATAAAGTATATATATTCTGGATCCTTATAGAAGACGAAGTCAATTTAGCCATATCCGTCTGCCTATCCATGTGTATGTTTAAATCAGTTTTCAGAAGATCCCAGATATCTGAGAGATCCGATTTTTCAATAATTCTATCAGACATACGATCCGAAAGAACGAAGATATGAGCAAAAATCTGAGACAATCTCTGAAAATTTCTTCAAAAAATAAGATTTTTCGTTCATGCTCAGACAGAAATAATAAACAAGCGACAATAACAACCTATAAAAAAGTATTTTTTGGTACTTTTTCGTTCTTAAAAAGGTACTTTTTGAATTTTATTTAATATTGAACCTAGAAACAAGAAATTAAGCATTTAGGGGCCGGAGTAGATGATATCCTATAAAAGGGGACCTTTTGGAAATTTTTCCATCTTCAAAAAGTACTTTTTTAATTTTCTTTAATATAGAACCTAGAAACATGAAATTAAGCATTTAGGGACCGGAGTAAGTGATAACCTATAAAAGGGGAGATTTTGGTACTTTTTCTTTCTTCAAAAGGTACTTTTTGAATTTTGTATAATATTGAACCTAGAAACATGAAATTATGCACGTAGGACCCCTAAAAGGTGATAACCTATAAAAAGGGACATTTTGGTACTTTTTCGTTTTTCAAAAAGGTACTTTTGAATTTTCTATAATATTGAACCTAGAAACATGAAATTAAGCATGTAGGGCCCGTAGTAGGCGATAACCTATAAGAGGGAATTTTTTGGTACTTTTTCGTTCTTCTAAAGGTATTTTTTGAATTTTCTATAATATTGAACCTAGAAACATGAAATTAAGAATGTAGGCCTGCAGTATGTGATAACCTATAAAAGAGGACATTTTGGTACTTTTTCGTTCTTTTAAAGATACTTTTTGAATTTTCTATAATATTGAACCTAGAAACATGAAATTAAGAATGTAGGCCCGCAGTAAGTGATAACCTATAAAAGGGGAACATTTTGGTACTTTTTCGTTTTTCAAAAGGTACTTTTTGAATTTTGTATAATATTGAACCTAGAAACATGAAATTAAGAATGCAGGGCCCGGAGTAAGTAATAACCTATAAAATGGATTTTTTTGGTACTTTTTCGTTCTTCAAAAGGTACTTTTTGTATTTTCTATAATATTGAACCTAGAAACATGAAATTAAGTATGTAAGGCCCGCAGTAGGTGATGACCTACAAAAGGGAATTTTTCGTTCTTCTAAAGATACTTTCTGAATTTTCTATAAGATTCGGTCAACCGAATATAGAATTCTTACTTGTTTCATTTTAAGTGCAAAGTTTTACATTATGCAATTACACTGCTTTTATTAACGACACCTGTACGTATACGTGTTAATGATTTATTGATATTACAAATATTAAGTATACGCCGAAGTTAGAGAAGCACATTTTTTCGTTTGTATTAATGTTTGTAACACCCAAAAATATTGCTCACCCACCTTTAAGTAAACCAATTGGCTCAGAATCACTTTCTTAGTCGATTAGGGTATGTCCGTCTGTCTGTGTGTCCAGGATGCAATTTTCGAGCTGATTTGATGAAAGTTGGCACATACTTTTCTCTTGGACCGATTTCAACCTATTGAAAACGATAGGCCCATACTTGCCCCTGCTCCTGTATAACACCTATTCCGAAAAATCACTTTTTTTCAACAAATTGTTAAAATATTTCGGAATTAAGACAAAGTACTACTTAAATGCTTTATTATGAAAAATAAACCACATTTTAAACATACTACTCGCTGGTGTAGGACATCATATGGTCGACCATGACCGACTTATACATTCTTACTTGTTTTTAATATTTAATTGTCATTTTTATAAAGTTCCATTTATAATATTATACAAGAACACCTTAATTTAGTTTCAAACTTCTGTTGAAACTTATGCCAACTTAATCAAAAGTTAAATTTGAAATATAAATTAAGAAAAATTTTAAACAAGAACGAAAGCAAAATCAAATCAAATAAAGTAAACTTAATCTAATGATTTGCTTAGCTTTTTGTCAGTGTTCAAAATAAAAGTGAAAAAAAGTTTAAATACGACAATATATATTTAATTTTAGAACATAAAATAATTTGAAATTTGTTTATTTAATTGACTGCAATAAGCCAAAATGGCGGCTTTAAATAATTTAGCATTTTAAGTATTTTTAAGAAATATTGCATTTGTTTAGTAACCCTCGTTATGGCAGCATTGCATAAGTTTTTTTTTTTTTTTTTTTTTTTTTTTTTTTTGAATAATAAATTTACATAATTTTAAATCTGTGTTAAAAATATTGTTAGTCTGTCTGTTTGAAAATAAGTACTTACTTGTATTTATTTATTTAGTTATAAATTGTATAAACTTTTAAATAAAACTTTAAATTTAACTTCTTTTAAGTAAATGTTTTTATTTTATGATAAAGTTTTTGTTACCGCCAACTAAATAAAAAGAGACTAAATAATTTTGTGGATTCTTAACAAAAATTTATCAAATAGTTAACTGAATCCCTTGATATATATTTTTGAAAGTTTTTTGTTTGGTTTCTTATATTTTTGACAAATAAACAACTTAAATTTTTAGCTCAATATAGAAAAGGCTTATGGAAAATTGCTAAAGAAAACAAATATTCAGCAAGTTTATTATCAAAAAGTTGATGACTTCTTTATTCTGTTTTTGGCACATCGTTGTATACTTACATATATTCGGGTGCTAAAGGGCTAGTATTGATATCACCACCCCCTCTGGCATATCTTTTAAACTGTTGCAAATATATCAGTCATAATTAAATTTTGCACAAGTTATGGACTAGGGTTCTATAGTTGAACGAAAAGTCGATTTTTCGACTTTTTGCATTTAGTTAAAAGTCGATTTTTCGACTTTTCGACTTTTTTCATTTAATTAAAAGTCGACTTTTCGACTTTTAGTATATTATAAATAGTAGACTTTTCGACTTTTTCCGACTTTTCGACTTTTTTCAACTTTATCCAACTTTTCGACTTTTTCCGACTTTTTGACTTTTTCGAGTTTTTCCGACTATTTTAAAGTTTTTGACTTTTTTTTCACTTTTTTAAAATTTTTGACTTTTTTCTACTATTTTCGAGTTTTCGACTTTTTCCGACTTTTTTCGACTTTTTCGACTTATCGACTTTTTTCGACTTTTCAACTTTTTCCAACTTTTCGACTTTTTTCTACTTTTTCCGACTTCTCGAATTTTTTCGACTTTTTGACTATTTTCGACTATTTTTTTACTTTTTCGAGTTTTTCCGACTATTTTAAAGTTTTTTACTTTTTTTCCACTTTTTTAAAATTTTTGACTTTTTTCTACTATTTTCGATTTTTCCGACTTTTCGACTTTTTTCAACTTTTTCCAACTTTTCGACTTTTTTCTACTTTTTCCGACTTCTCGAATTTTTTCGACTTTTTGACTATTTTCGACTATTTTTTGACTTTTTCGAGTTTTTCCGACTATTTGAAAGTTTTTGACTTTTTTTCCACTTTTTTAAAATTTTTGACTTTTTTCTACTATTTTCGAGTTTTCGACTTTTTTCGACTTTTCGACTTTTATTTACAAAGTCGACTTTTCGACTTTTTCATAGACGATAGTCGAGTTATCGACTTTTTTGGAACAAAGTAGTCGACTTCGACTTTTCGACTTCTTTCGACAAAAAGTCGATTGTTCGATTATTCGAAAGTCGATTTATAGAACCCTATTATGGACCCAGATATGGCGAAAATAAAGCCAGATTTTGTTCTAGACCCTATATATGTAAGAGTCCCTTCAGAAGAAGACTTTAACGTTCATTACCGGGAACCATAATCTCCCTATCAAATCTCAAGGAGATCAATTCGGTCATTGTGATTTCGTGACTCTATAATACACAAAGGAAAAAACAGGTAGAAAAATACCTGATACAATCCGTTGTCAAAAGTAAGCTCACCACGTTTGTTAACATTTAGACAATGGATGTGTATAGAATGTAAATAACACGCAGTTATCATTTTGACAACCACCGTTGTCATTTTTGCAACACATCGTTATCATTACAGCAACGCATTGTTGTCATTTCGATTACTCTTTATGCCATTTCGACAACGCCACGTTCTATTTGACAACATAGCGTTGTCACTTTGATAACACATCGTTTACACTCAGAATAAATATTAAAAAAAAATTAATTTAGTTAGCCGCCACCAGTCGTAGATCGAATATGCTTTTATGATTCGACTACCCTTCATTTTCACCACCTGCAGTTATCGTTTAACTGGTAGTTATTCTTCCAGTTAGGGCAATTTTTGTATGAGAACTGTCAATATAAAGTTAAAAAATAACTATACATTGTGAAAGTGGTAGTACGTCATGTATTATTTATTTATTTTTTTTTTTGTTAATTTGACAACCATCCGTACATAATTTGACAACCATCCATACATAATTTGACAACGAACGTTTTTGAAAGATTATAAACACTTTGGTGGCAATTTAGTAGCAAGCGTGTAAAATTTTAAAACGTATTTATTCTATATCCTTATATACAACCAAGACGATTTTATGATGTCCTTTTGCTGAAATCAACAAGCAATAGAGGTCGTGGCACTTCCATTATGAATTAAACACAAAAATTCGTATATCAGGTAAACTATGGGATGTAGAATTTGTAAAATTTTACAAGTTTGACATCCATGTAAACATTTGGGTAATAATTTGGCAGTTTAACAATAGGGGGCGTGTCACCACCCATATGAATTCAATATCAAAATGAGTATAACTGGGAAACCGTTAGAGCTGGAATCCTCAAATTTTGCACGAGCAACACTAAAATACATATAAACATTTGGAAAGAATGGCTGACCATACAATAATACCCACATGAATTTAAAATTGTAAAGGGTTATTTACTTTCATATATTGTTTTAAGGGTAGCGAAGTACACTGGGTATTTCTAGTGAACAAATTAATTTCAGAAAATTAAATTTCAAACATACTATTTGTTGTCCAAATAGTAGCATAATACTGTGCCAAATACGATAAAAATAGAAAAACCGCTTTTCTAAACACCACATTTTTAAATTAAACACCCAATTACACAAAGCTAATTAATTACTCACAATTGCTCGCCCATAAATAAGTACATGTAGTGCAAAAATAAGACTATTACTTATATATAGACGAATAGAACAATTCTATTAAGTATACTTGTACAATGAACAACAACAGCAACAACAACAATCTGTTGCTCATTTGTCTGTGCGTCAAGTTTAAATCAAAATTCCTAGTCAACAAATTGTAGTAGTTATTTATAGCAATAAAATCCGCTACACTTCTAACTCAATAAACATTTGAAATGAAATCCGCTTTCAACTAATAAATCGGCTTAAATCATTGGTTGTCATCTAAATTTCATTGTTGTCACCTGTAGCATTAACATCATGACAACCAGCAAGCTGGACTGTGAGCGTATTAGACGGATGGATTAGTTGTTATTTATAGAAGTTTTCTTAACTCTTTGCCCTTAGTAAAGAGGAAAAAAGTAGATAAAGCAACTGCAAATGTTTGCTTTTTTGATAAATGAAGATTTAATATTTAATTCTACAATAAAATATTAAAGCAGATTTCTACAAATATTTTTAAAATTTATTATTATTTTTTAAAATTTATAAAACAAACTTATTTAGAACTAACTTACTAATATTTATGTCTACAAAACAAGTATACCTGTTGTTAACTGTTTAAACAATTGTAAAAGTGTTAATCACATAAATGTCACTTTGACATTTACACACACTAACACTCAAATACACACACGCACTCACAAACATATAAATAAACTTTTCAACTACCACTATCTCTGTTCATCTTAAAAACTTATACACTCTCATACTATATACTAGCACAATTTTCCTTATCATCATCTGTTTTATATTAAGAATCCTTAGAAGTTATTTAATCAATTATCCATACACCTTTTAAATTACTAATGACTTTTAAATAAATGTCTTCTTGTCTTTCTTTGTTTGTCTGGCGTTTTGTCTTGTTTTTATTTTCTTACGAACAATTGTGTTCTATATGCATGAACACTTATTCCGCCCACACATTTAGTTGGATGATAATGTACAAAAAATGTTACCAAGAGTTCCAGTGCCATTGCAAGAAGCCACATCACGTCTAGTAAATCGAGATCCAACCGCAAGACCAACAGCCCAACTGTTACAATTGATTAAGTACTTTGTGTAAGTATAAAAGTGAAATTTACGACTACTGTCTATTTTTACCTTATTTACTTCTATATATGTACATATGTATGTATATGTACATATGTACAAAAACGTTAACAAATATGTACTTACAAAAATATATATGGTTTAACAAAAAACTTTATAAATTAGGGTTCTCCAGAACCCTTGATTAGCCTATTATTTAAGGTGTAATGTACCCACCATCCATAAAGAGGATTTTGTCGTTTTACTTTTCAGAACATGAAAATATAGACCCCAAACCCACAAATGCATATAGAAATAGTGTCCCAGAATACACAGAACGAACGAACGAAACGAACGAACGAACGAACGAACGAAGAAACGAACGAACGAACGAACGAACGAACGAACGAAGAACGAACGAACGAAACGAACGAACGAACGAACGAACGAACGAACGAACGAACGAAGAACGAACGAACGAACGAACGAACGAACGAACAACGAACGAACGAACGAAACGAACGAACGAACGAACGAACGAACGAACGAACGAACGAACGAACGAACGAACGAACGAAACGAACGAACGAACGAACGAACGACGAACGAACGAACGAACGAACGAACGAACGAAACGAACGAACGAACGAACGAACGAACGAACGAACGAAACGAACGAACGAACGAAACGAACGAACGAACGAACGAACGAACGAACGAACGAACGAACGAACGAACGAACGAAACGAACGAAGAACGAACGAACGAACGAAGAACGAACGAACGAACGAAGAACGAACGAACGAAACGAACGAACGAACGAAGAACGAACTAACTACTACTACTAACTAACTAACTAACTAACGAACTACTAACTAACTAACGAACTACTAACAATAACTAACTAACTAACTAACTAACTACTAAATAAAACTAACTAACTAACTAACTAACCTAACTAACTAACTAACTACTAAAACTAACTAACTAACTAACTAACTAACTAACTACTAACTAACTATAAACTAACTAACTAACTACTAACTAACTTAACTAACGAACTAACTAACTAACTAACTAACTAACGACTAACTAACTAACTAACTAACTAACTAACGAACTACTAACTAACTAACTAACTAACTAACTAACTAACTAAACTAACTAACTAACGAACTAACTAACTAACTAACTACTAACTAACTAAACTAACTAAACTAACTAACTACTAACTCTAATGCTAACTAACTAACTAACTAACTAACTAAATACTAACTAGGCAACTAACTAACTAACTAACTAACTAACTAACTAACTAACTAAACTAACTAACTAACTAACTAACTAACAACTAACTAACTAACTAACTAACACTAACTAACTAACTAACTAACTAACTACCTAACTAACTATCTAACTAACTAACTAACTAGAGGTGACGATGGATCCCAATGTGTGTATTCAATAAAACGTGTCCCTCTGGAATTAGGTAAATTGTTGACGTTTTTTGCATTGGTCTGGTTAATTTCCTCCATTTCCCTTCTATTTATACCTCGTTCAGGGCTGATAAGTCTCATGTGGCCTGATGACGCAAAGCTTAACTCCTGAAGAGTTAAGGCTCTCTCAGAGTCCGGTTAAGGTTCTCTCAGAGTCCAAAATAGTCTTAGATCACCAGATATAGGGCGTAGTCTTTTACCTTAGAACTGTCGATAAATATGTGAACCTCTATGTATGGGGAGCCATATTTTTAAAATCCTGTTTACACATGCCATTATTGCGCTGACTTCTGAATGTTTGTAATGTAATTAGGTAGGCGGTAGTATGATTTTTACTATGATATCTGTAGGGAAAGTCGAAAATGCATATAATATCCTGATTAGAAGTATAGTCTTCAGCACTGCCGGGTAATGCTCAAAATACCAAACAATACAACAACAGAATGATAAGCCATTAAACGTAAAAAATATTAAAAAAAAAAAACTAAAACTAACCAAACTTTTTTAAGTAATTTGATATAAAAGTTTGGTTTTTGTGTTTTCATTATTATGAAATATGTACCAATAAACAAGAGAAATAAATTGAATTGAAAATAATATATACAGAGTAAAATGGACTTTAATTGAAATTTGAAATGTGAATATAAAATATGCCTCAATAAATGGCACAAATATTTAAAAAAAATAAAAAAAATGTGCAATAAAATGGCAAATAAATAAAATTGCATTAAAATACACTAGTATTTAAAATTAAAATTAAGTTTCACAATTTAAATCCTAAACATTTCCTTAACTTTCCTAATAGTTTTAAAGCCATTTATTTTAATGTCATGCTACTAATAAATTTGTAACATTATTAACATTATAAGAAAACCATTTTATTATACAATTTTTTTCCATCTGTTAATATAGAGACAAAAAAGTATAGAGAAAACTTTAAAATATTAACTATGTACGTATGTATGTATATTCAATAACGTTTTCTAATGCAATTGCATTTGTGTGAACTGCTTCCGCTTCCGACTGTAAGTGAACATTGTTGTTATGTTTTGCATTGCTTTGTTGTTTTCCTCTCTACTATTTCATTGTAGAAAATAACAATAATACCAGCTATAAGTACATATTTATTTAGATTCTAGAACAAAACAAAATAAAAAAAAACTTTTTCTAGTTTTATTTTTAAGAAAATTAAAAAAAGTCTGTAGATATTTAAAAACTGACTCGTGAATATAATAATGTTTTTGTTTTATATAATTTTTAAATTACAAAAACCATCTTTTAAATTTAACAATTTTAAAAACATGGTAATTTTTAAAGTCTCACTTTTTACATTAAGCATAATAACTTTATTTTATAAATTAAAAGCAATTATTAAAAAAAAAAAAATTCTACTCTTTATCATTCCCATCACTCTAATCTCCCCACACCTTATCATTTATTTTAGTGATCCGGCGGTAAATGCCCTCAAGTTTCTTGATGTGGTTAACATGAAGGATACATCACAAAAATCCCAATTTTATAAAGTCACATTAATGGAAAGCATGCCGCTGATACCCAAGGTAAATTGTGCAAAAATATGTATTTGTGTATGTATATGTAGTACTAACATAACGAAAAATAAAAACACAAAAAAAGCAGGAAAGAAAAAATAAATGAACACAAGAAGAATTATTAAGCATTAAAAAATATAAGTACACATCTATTCACACACACACACAATCATACATATGGATGCAAACATTTATAGAGTTCCAGCAGTTTTGTAAGAAGTCCTTTTTAGTTAGTATTCCCCATCTGGCGGTCCAGATTTTAGTTAGTAAGTGAGTAAGTTAGTAAGTTAGTAAGTGAGTAAGTTAGTAAGTTAGTAAGTTAGTTAGTTAGTAAGTTAGTAATTTAGTAAGTTAGTAAGTTAGTAAGTTAGTATGTTAGTAAGTTAGTAAGTTAGTAAGTTAGTAAGTTAGTAAGTTAGTAAGTTAGTAAGTTAGTAAGTTAGTAAGTGAGTAAGTTAGTAAGTTAGTTAGTTAGTAAGTTAGTAAGTTAGTAAGTTAGTAAGTTAGTAAGTTAGTAAGTTAGTAAGTTAGTAAGTTAGTAAGTTAGTAAGTTAGTAAGTTAGTAAGTTAGTAAGTTAGTAAGTTAGTAAGTTAGTAAGTTAGTAAGTTAGTAAGCTAGTAAGTTAGTAAGTTAGTAAGTTAGTAAGTTAGTAAGTTAGTAAGTTAGTAAGTTAGTAAGTTATTAAGTTATTAAGTTAGTAAGCTAGTAAGTTAGTATGTCAGTAAGTTAGTAAGTTAGTAAGGTAGTTAGTTAGTAAGTTAGTAAGTTAGTAAGTTAGTAAGTTATTAAGTTAGTAAGCTAGTAAGTTAGTATGTCAGTAAGTTAGTAAGTTAGTAAGGTAGTTAGTTAGTAAGTTAGTAAGTTAGTAAGTTAGTAAGTTAGTAAGTTAGTAAGTTAGTAAGTTAGTAAGTTAGTAAGTTAGTAAGTTAGTAAGTTAGTAAGTTAGTAAGTTATTAAGTTAGTAACTTAGTAACTTACTAAGTTATTAAGTTAGTAAGTTATAAGGAAAATACTGAAAATACTGTCTAAAAGTAATACATTCAACACTTTCTAAACTTCTGGGTACTGGCTGCAAACAAAAAAGGATTTAATTTCAGTACAACCGGATATTAAAACAGAAGCACACGAAAAAACCAACAAAATGGGGAAGGAGCAACAAGAACAACATTGCTACCGCCAAAACACTTTGCACCACAAAAAGTGTACATGAAAGTTTCTATTCGTTGGTTTATCAACATACCCTCTACACAAGGGAAAACTATGTTAAGTTTGAGGTTTGGTTTGTATTCAGATCCCATATAAGGGCGGTACCTGTTAATTACTTATTAATCACTTTAAATACTAAATTGCTCCATCAAATCCTGTAGACTATAAACCATAACTTCCATTGAGATAACCGTTCAAATTCAAGTCCCCATAAAAATACCACTTTAATAACTTTAACAACTGGTGCAGGTTATCATAAAGTCAGGCAATACCGATTATATTTTCCTTATATTTTAACTTCATGCCACAGGTTACTGCTGCGTTAACAAACTCTATGTACATATACACACTCTCATATATACATACATATGTACTACCTGTATACGTTCAATAAACACACAATCCCCACTTTGATTAGAACGCCACTTATTTTTCAATTTAACCCCCAAAAAAAAGACTCAAATAATAAATCGATAATAATACCAAATAAATTGAAAGAAGTTTAAATTTTTAGGTAAACGTAAATATTTGATAATTTTTATTTAATTTTAAGTAAAGGTATTTTCAAAAATATTTTTTTTGTTTGCCAACAACATAATCCCTGATAATTTGGGGTTTCTTACTAAATAAATACACTTTTATGTTGATAATTGATATCATGCCCTAAGGTTGTCTGGATTCGAGTAAAATTTTTGGAATATTCTTATATCATAAAGTAAAATGAAACAATTTAAATTTGTTCCAGTAATGATTTAAATATTACGTTGGTCAAGTTTTTTTTTTTTTTTTAAATAAGTAAAAGAGAAAAATATGTTTTGTTAATTTTGTTTAAAGGGAAGATTTGAAACATTTAAATTTTACTAAGTAAACTTGTTTAAGTTTTATTAGAATACAATCCATACTCATTCATTTAAATTTCGTTTACAGAAATTGTGGTGGCAAAATCTTTGGCCTATGCTGCAGTCGGAAATTAGCAATGGCGAAGTGTTGGCAGCAGTTTTACACCCTGTCCTCACTCTTTTGCAGGAATCTTCGAAAACTGAATACGAAGCTGTTATGGCACCAACTATGAAGTAAGTTCTTTTTCTCTCATTTCTAGTCTAGTCTATAGTCTAGTCTATAGTCTAGTCTGTAGTCTAGTCTATTGTCTAGTCTATAGTCTAGTCTGTAGTCTAGTCTATAGTATAGTCTAGTCTAGTATATAGTCTAGTCTATAGTCTAGTCTATAGTCTAGTCTATAGTCTAGTCTATAGTCTAGTCTATAGTCTAGTCTATAGTCTAGTCTATAGTCTAGTCTATAGTCTAGTCTATAGTCTAGTCTATAGTCTAGTCTATAGTCTAGTCTATAGTCTAGTCTATAGTCTAGTATAGTCTAGTCTATAGTCTAGTCTATAGTCTAGTCTATAGTCTAGTCTATAGTCTAGTCTATAGTCTAGTCTATAGTCTAGTCTATAGTCTAGTCTATAGTCTACTAGTCTATAGTTAGTCTATAGTCTAGTCTATAGTCTAGTCTATAGTCTAGTCTAGTCTAGTCTATAGTCTAGTCTATAGTCTAGTCTATAGTCTAGTCTATAGTCTAGTCTATAGTCTAGTCTATAGTCTATAGTCTAGTCTATAGTCTAGTCTATAGTCTAGTCTATAGTCTAGTCTATAGTCTAGTCTATAGTCTAGTCTATAGTCTAGTCTATAGTCTAGTCTATAGTCTAGTCTATAGTCTAGTCTATAGTCTAGTCTATAGTCTAGTCTATAGTCTAGTCTATAGTCTAGTCTATAGTCTAGTCTATAGTCTAGTCTATAGTCTAGTCTATAGTCTAGTCTATAGTCTAGTCTATAGTCTAGTCTATAGTCTAGTCTATAGTCTAGTCTATAGTCTAGTCTATAGTCTAGTCTATAGTCTAGTCTATAGTCTAGTCTATAGTCTAGTCTATAGTCTAGTCTATAGTCTAGTCTATAGTCTAGTCTATAGTCTAGTCTATAGTCTAGTCTATAGTCTAGTCTATAGTCTAGTCTATAGTCTAGTCTATAGTCTAGTCTATAGTCTAGTCTATAGTCTAGTCTATAGTCTAGTCTATAGTCTAGTCTATAGTCTAGTCTATAGTCTAGTCTATAGTCTAGTCTATAGTCTAGTCTATAGTCTAGTCTAGTCTAGTCTATAGTCTAGTCTATAGTCTAGTCTAGTCTAGTCTAGTCTACACTATCTATGGACTGGTCTAGCCTATTAACTAGACTCTGAACCAATATAACATAGGAAATTTTTGAGAGACTTATGGACTTTAAAAAACATCCTGAAAATGCTTGGAAACTGGTACTACTCACTAAACAGACTTTTAATAATTTTATCTGACATAACTTTAGATATTCAAATTTAATTTAATATGTTTTTTCATTTAAATACTTATTTAAAATCAAACTAAGCATTTCTGTTACAAAAATATATCTTTTCATTTCGATTTAAGAATCATTTTAAATGGACCCAAATCTATACAAGCAACTGTTACTTTACTAGAGAATTTACATTTGATTATTGATAAAACACCAACAGAGGATGTCACTACGGATATTATGCCAATGTTATTTGCATCCTTTGAAAGTTCCACCATACAAGTGCAGGTAAGTTAGATATCAGATGCAGTAGTTTTATCACAGAAAGACACATCATTATACAAACATACATACATACATAGATCTCTGAATATTCGTTTGAAAATAGTACATTTAAAGATTACAAATAAAATGTATAGTTGTTATAAAAAGGTTATATGTATGTATAAAATGCAAAATACTATACATACGTAGTTATACAAGTAGTTACAAATATCAATATTTCACCTTTTAGAATTTGCAGAAAATGTTATTTTTATATATTTACCAGCATTTACTCATTCATATACATATATTTTATGAGTATAAATGTCTTTGCTACATTTATTTCACTTGTTGTAAATAATAATAATTTATTTTTTTCCACATTTTATTTTTATTTTACATTTGCATTCAAGTCTTGTAAACTTTCATATTTTTATGCAATTTATTCATATCTACATAGATATTAAATTCTTTTTCATGATGTAATATAAAAATGATGTAAATTTCTAAGGATAGTTTTCAATAAATACTTAACCTTTGAAAGGTTGTTCCCACATTTAAGCATATTTAAGATGTGATTTAAATGTGAATTAAAGCTTACTAAATAAAGTATTTCAGAATAAAACCTAGATTTCAAAGGATTTGATAGATCAGATTTTAATGAAGATTCTTTCTAATGTATTGAATTTTGACCTTGTAAATGAACATTTATCATCATTATAACTACATAGCTTACTAACTTACTAACTTACTAACTTACTAACTTACTAACTTACTAACTGACTAACTTACTAACTTACTAACATACTTACTTACTAACTTACTAACTTACTAACGTACTAACGTACTAACTTACTAACTAACTAACTTACTAACTTACTAACTTACTAACTCACTAACTTACTAACCTACTAACTTACTGACTTACTAACTGACTAACTCACTAAACTTACTAACTTACTAACTGACTAACTGACTAACTCACTAACTTACTAACTTACTAACTTACTAACTTACTAACTTACTAACTTACTAACTTACTAACATACTAACATACGAACATACGAACATACTAACTTACTAACTGACTAACTTACTAACTTACTAACTTACCAATTACTAACTTACCAACTTCCTAACGGACAACTCGAACGACTAACGACAACTACGGAGGGACTAACTACGCACACGAACGAACTAACGAATAACTGACGAACGGACGAAACGAACGGACGAACGACAACTGGACGAATACGAACTGACGAAACGAGAACTAACAAACGACGAAGACGAAGTAATAACTTACTAACTTACTAACTTACTAACTTACCAAACATAACTTACCAACTTCCAACTTACTAACTTTCTAACTTACACTTACTAACACTAACTTACTAACTTACTAACTTAACTACTACTTACTAACACTAACTAACTAACTTACTAACTTCCTAACTACTAACTTACTAACTTTCTAACTTACTAACTTACTGATTCACTAACTTACTCACTTACTAACTAACTAACTTACTAACTTACTAACTACTAACTTACTAACTTACTAACTACTAACTTACTAACTTACTAACTTGCTAACTTACTAACTTACTAACTTACCAACTTACTAACTTACTAACTTACTAACTTACTTATTTACTTACTAACTTACTGACTAACTAACTTTCTAACTTACTAACATACTAACTTACTAACTTACTAACTTACTAACTTACTAACTTACTAACTTACTAACTTACTAACTTACTAACTTACTCACTTACTAACTTACTAACTTACTTACTAACTTACTAACTTACTAACATACTAACTTACTAACTTATTAACTTACTAACTTACTAGCTTACTAACGTACTAACTTACAAACTTACTACTTATTAAGTAACTACCTTAACTAAAAAACTATTTTTTTAAGTGGCAAGAAAATTCTCTACGTCATATGTATCCATTTGTCTTTTCCACTGATGCAAATTATATCTTATCCTTTTTATTATGATTTTAAAGAAAATGTTCTATTTTTCAGCGTCTTGTTAGCACATGTCATAAACAGACAGCATTTCAAATATTTCAGACTTCAATGACTTTTTAATCACAGTCAGATTATATGAATAAAAGGTCTGTTATGACAGACATAAAATTACTATTCAGTACATTTGCATAAATATCTGTTTCTACTTTTACGATGTCTGTCAAGTTTTCAACAGATGAAAACAAAATACAATTCATTATTATTCACAAATTCATCAATAATTCTATTTGGTATTTTTTTTTTTTTTTTTTTTTTTTCATTTGCCCCCCCAAAAAAGGGTTTGTTTTCTTTTTCTTCGCTCAGCAGGGAATTTACAAGGTGTTTTGTAGCAAATAAAGGATTAAATATTGATTTTTTGTTTTACATTGTAATTTAAGTTGTAATTCGAAAACATTTTATTCAAATTTTCGACCCAAAAATATGCTCACCTTTAATAAATTAAACCCTTTTCGATTGCCAGATTTAAGTGTCTGACTTGCACCTTTGACTACAATTTAATTTATTTATAATTTGCATTTTATTTAGAAATTTGGCTGTTTTGTATCTATTCTAATTGCAGCATTCATAAACGTTTAATAAAGTTACCAATAGTAAATATGTATTTTTTTATAACGATTTTTTTATTCTAGAATGCTGCGGTAGTTGCGGTTACAAATGTTTATGACAATATTACAGAAGCGTCAATTAAACGTATGGTTTTGCCTAAAGTTAAATCGGTTTTCGAAAAGAATCTCACCGATCCCAAAATTGTACAAAATGTATTGATTTGTGTAGAAAGTCTGATGGACAGAATGGATAAACCAGAGGTGAGTATCAATTAAAAATATTCCAATTCTGTTAAAATATTAACAATTTATGTAAAGCATGAAAATACATTTAAATGCGTAAAACTCTTAACAAATATTACTGGTCTTTATCGCACTTAAATTTATTAAATACAATTTTTCAAAGATTATAATCATTTAATAAATAACTTTTTAATTGCTTTCCTGTCCATTATGTTCGGTTTGCTTTAATCATTAATGCAACGTTTTATGTGTAAATTTTTATTTCAAGGTAACGGAAGAAATTTTATCGATACTTGCTGGTGTGGAAATACCAGATCCAGATTTAATAATGCGTTCTGTGCGTAAGTATAATTTTCTTAAATTTTCTCTTCATACAAATACTCATATTATTCGTCGAAGTGTTAATGCATGTTTCAGGAATGGAAAAGTTGATATGTTTGTTTATTGCTTGTTAAATTTTTAAATTTAAAAGGGGGCCAAAATACAAAACTATAGACTCAATGATAGTTTATTCTATAGACTAGTCTATAGTCTAGTCTATAGAGTAGTTTGTAGTCTAGTCTGTAGTGTAGTCTATAGTCTAGTCTATAGCCTAGTCTGTAGTCTAGTCTATTGTATAGTCTATAGCCTAGTATATAGTCTAGTCTATAGCCTAGTATATAGTCTAGTCTATAGCCTAGTATATAGTCTAGTCTATAGCCTAGTATATAGTCTAGTCTATAGCCTAGTCTATAGCCTAGTCTATAGTCTAGTCTATAGTCCTAGTCTATAGTCTAGTCTAAAGTCTAGCCTATAGTCTAATCTATAGTCTAGCCTATAGTCTAGTCTATAGTCTAGTCTATAGTCTAGTCTATAGTCTAGTCTATAGTCTAGTCTATAGTCTAGTCTATAGTCTAGTCTATCGTCTAGTCTATAGTCTAGTCTATAGTCTAGTCTATAGTCTCGTCTATAGTCTAGTCTATAGTCTAGTCTATAGTCTAGTCTATAGTCTAGTCTATAGTCTAGTCTATAGTCTAGTCTATAGTCTAGTCTAGTCTATAGTCTAGTCTATAGTCTAGTCTATAGTCTAGTCTATAGTCTAGTCTAGTCTATAGTCTAGTCTATAGTCTAGTCTATAGTCTAGTCTATAGTCTAGTCTATAGTCTAGTCTATAGTCTAGTCTATAGTCTAGTCTATAGTCTAGTCTATAGTCTAGTCTATAGTCTAGTCTATAGTCTAGTCTATAGTCTAGTCTATAGTCTAGTCTATAGTCTAGTATATAGTCTAGTCTATAGTCTAGTCTATAGTCTAGTATATAGTCTAGTCTATAGTCTAGTATATAGTCTAGTCTATAGTCTAGTCTATAGTCTAGTCTATAGTCTAGTCTATAGTCTAGTCTATAGTCTAGTCTATAGTCTAGTCTATAGTCTAGTCTATAGTCTAGTCTATAGTCTAGTCTATAGTCTAGTCTATAGTCTAGTCTATAGTCTAGTCTATAGTCTAGTCTATAGTCTAGTCTATAGTCTAGTCTATAGTCTAGTCTATAGTCTAGTCTATAGTCTAGTCTATAGTCTAGTCTATAGTCTAGTCTATAGTCTAGTCTATAGTCTAGTCTATAGTCTAGTCTATAGTCTAGTCTATAGTCTAGTCTATAGTCTAGTCTATAGTCTAGTCTATAGTCTAGTCTATAGTCTAGTCTATAGTCTAGTCTATAGTCTAGTCTATAGTCTAGTCTATAGTCTAGTCTATAGTCTAGTCTATAGTCTAGTCTATAGTCTAGTCTATAGTCTAGTCTATAGTCTAGTCTATAGTCTAGTCTATAGTCTAGTCTATAGTCTAGTCTATAGTCTAGTCTATAGTCTAGTCTATAGTCTAGTCTATAGTCTAGTCTATAGTCTAGTCTATAGTCTAGTCTATAGTCTAGTCTATAGTCTAGTCTATAGTCTAGTCTATAGTCCAGTCTATAATCTAGTCTATAATCTAGTCTATAATCTAGTCTATAGTCTAGTCTATAGTCTAGTCTATAGTCTAGTCTATAGTCTAGTCTATAGTCTAGTCTATAGTCTAGTCTATAGTCTAGTCTATAGTCTAGTCTATAGTCTAGTATATAGTCTAGTCTATAGTCTAGTCTATAGTCTAGTCTATAGTCTAGTCTTTAGTCTAGTCTATAGTCTAGTCAATAGTCTAGTCTGTAGTCTAGTCTATAGTCTAGTCTATAGTCTAGTCTATAGTCTAGTCTATAGTCTAGTCTATAGTCTAGTCTATAGTCTAGTCTATAGTCTAGTCTATAGTCTAGTCTATAGTCTAGTCTATAGGCCAGACTTTAATCTGGTCTATAATCCATACTATAGTCTAGTCTAAAGTTCAGACCATAATCTGCTCTACAGTCAGACTATAATCTAGTCTTTTGTCCAGACTTTAATCTAGACTAATTTTCAGACTATAATCTAGTCTCAAGTGCAGACTATACTCTAATCTATGGTCTAGTCTAGAGATTGGACTATGGACCAATCTGGACTATAGTCTTGTCCATAGTCTGGTCTAAAGACCAAGGTATGGTCTAGTCTATAATCCACACTATTGTCTATTCCAAAGTCCACACTATAGTCTAGTCGATAGAATAAATTACATAAAAATCAACTTTCCATCCCTGCTACATCTACATCCATAAAACATTGCATGCATCATTTACAACATCATCATCATTAAAAAATATCATTAATAAAATTGTATCAGTTGCAAGAAGTAAATTTTGAAAGCAAAAAAGAAATAATGAAATAAAATTTTCATTTACAAACTTGCAGGTATTTATCAGCGTATGTTCTTTGATGTTTCGTATAATTTAACAACCGAAGCAATTGCCAATAATGTGTTGCCTTTGCTGATACCACATACGATAAATCCACATTTATCATTGGAACAATATTGTCTTTTACTCGAGGTGGGTATACATATGAATGATGCAACATCATATTGAAAGAAGAAAAAAAAACAAATATTTGTCTTGCATACTCGAACTTAAGCACAAACGAACACACATTGCATATAGTAAGAGATACACGTACAGACATCTGAGCGAAAGTAGACCGATGACTATCAGTCATATCAAATTTACAAATTCATAAATTACCACTTTTATTACATTATCACATCATCTTTGCAATAGCACTGGTATTCACAGATGAGTGTATGAACAAAAAAATTACAGTAGTCAAAATGTCAAAACATCATATCAATAAGCTTCCCTTTTAGTACATGACAACAACTGCTCCTAACTAACATGTTTTGCTTATATCTATGATTACCCCTAATGAATATCAATTTTTCTTATCTTTTTTTTTTTTTTCTTCCGTAAAATTGTTAAGGCAATTCAATCATTTTTGGAAAATATTGACCGACAACAACGCAATCGCTTGAAAATGGAGAACATATCAATATCATCACCGGAACGTCATCGCATCTTAAGGCATCAGTATTCAACGGATAATATGAATGCAATACCACCATTTAATATACCCAATTTACGCATTGATCAACGTAAAACATCCAGTGCCGAAGATATGGCAAGAAAAAATTCTGGTGGTAAGTTGTTAATGGTCAATTGAATTTTTTTTTTATAGTTTAATTTTCTTATTTTTCACCATTTCACACAATATGCAATATTTATGTTTTATTTAATACAATATTGAGATAAAGGATTGTTCCTGTTTAGTTTAATTTTAACAGTATATGTATTTTTGTAAAATTTAAGGTAAAAAGGGAAAACATATAAAATTTAACATAACAGTCCTGACTGAGTGAGAATCTATCTAAACTATTTTTGGTGCTATGTTGTCTCTTAAAAAGTACTTAACCACATTAAATTTAACGGTTAAATAAAAATCTATAATCAAAAGATTTAATATACGAGATCCTTTGTGAATAGGAATCTTTAAGAAGTGGCTGTTTGGTACTTTTTACTCTAACCTTTTAAATTGTCCTTTTTCAATATAAAAGCAAAATCATGTTTGTAGTAAAAACTTATAATAAACACGGTGGACGTATCCTCGTAGTCAATTTGTTTCTCAGAAACAAAACTCTTATTTAACTCTATATTTGTAGGCGATCGTTGTAAGTACTTACCTAACGCCCTATTTGTAAGCGAGCGTGGTGAGTATTTGCCTCCAATAACATCACCGTGTTAAAATAATGACTTAAAATGCTATTGTGTAATTAAATTTAATCCCTTAATTAGTTAGTTAGTTAGTTAGTTAGTTAGTTAGTTAGTTAGTTAGGTAGTTAGTTAGTTAGTTAGTTAGTTAGTTAGTTAGTTAGTTAGTAGTTAGTTAGTTAGTTAGTTAGTTAGTTAGTTAGTTAGTTAGTTAGTTAGTTAGTTAGTTAGTTAGTAGTTAGTTAGTTAGTTAGTAGTTAGTTAGTTAGTTAGTTAGTTAGTTAGTTAGTTAGTTAGTAGTTAGTTAGTTAGTTAGTTAGTTAGTTAGTAGTTAGTTAGTTAGTTAGTTAGTAGTTAGTTAGTTAGTTAGTTAGTTAGTTAGTTAGTTAGTTAGTTAGTTAGTAGTAGTTAGTTAGTTAGTTAGTTAGTTAGTTAGTTAGTTAGTTAGTAGTTAGTTAGTTAGTTAGTTAGTTAGTTAGTTAGTTAGTTAGTTAGTTAGTTAGTTAGTTAGTTAGTAGTTAGTTAGTAGTTAGTTAGTTAGTTAGTTAGTTAGTTAGTTAGTTAGTTAGTTAGTAGTTAGTTAGTTAGTTAGTTAGTTAGTTAGTTAGTAGTTAGTTAGTTAGTTAGTTAGTTAGTTAGTTAGTTAGTTAGTTAGTTAGTTAGTTAGTTAGTTAGTTAGTTAGTTAGTTAGTTAGTTAGTTAGTTAGTTAGTTAGTTAGTTAGTTAGTTAGTTAGTTAGTTAGTAGTTAGTTAGTTAGTTAGTTAGTTAGTTAGTTAGTTAGTTGTTAGTTAGTTAGTTAGTAGTTAGTTAGTTAGTTAGTTAGTTAGTTAGTTAGTTAGTTAGTTAGTTAGTTAGTTAGTTAGTTAGTTAGTTAGTTAGTTAGTTAGTTAGTTAGTTAGTTAGTTAGTTAGTTAGTTAGTTAGTTAGTTAGTTAGTTAGTTAGTTAGTTAGTTAGTTAGTTAGTTAGTTAGTTAGTTAGTTAGTTAGTTAGTTAGTTAGTTAGTTAGTTAGTTAGTTAGTTAGTTAGTTAGTTAGTTAGTTAGTAGTTAGTTAGTTAGTTAGTTAGTAGTTAGTTAGTTAGTTAGTTAGTTAGTTAGTTAGTTAGTTAGTTAGTTAGTTAGTTAGTTAGTTAGTTAGTAGTTAGTTAGTTAGTTAGTTAGTTAGTAGTTAGTAGTTAGTTAGTTAGTTAGTTAGTTAGTTAGTTAGTTAGTAGTTAGTTAGTTAGTTAGTTAGTTAGTTAGTTAGTTAGTTAGTTAGTTAGTTAGTTAGTTAGGTTAGTTAGTAGTTAGTTAGTTAGTTAGTTAGTTAGTTAGTTAGTTAGTTAGTAGTTAGTTAGTTAGTTAGTTAGTAGTTAGTTAGTTAGTTAGTTAGTTAGTTAGTTAGTTAGTTAGTTAGTGTTAGTTAGTTAGTTAGTTAGTTAGTTAGTTAGTACGCTAGTGTTTGCGTGTTCGTTGAAATATTATTTTACTAAATTTAATTTTTTTAAGTTCATTAAAAAAGCTTGTTCCAAAACTTTTTTTACAAAATGCAATAAATTTAAATTACGAACTTTCGACAACTTTAAGAATACTTGCTTTTTAAACAGAAATCAAAAGGAATGTAACATTTTGAACAGAAAACAAACAAGTTTGAAACATTATTGGAAACAAGAAATATAAATTAAAATTTTTTTTATAAAATATTTTGTTCGAAATAATATTTCTGTTATATGGCAGACACGCATACATACTAACATACATAGGTCAACAATTTGCATAATTTGTTAAGTAGCTTAAATTGGTTTCAAGGAACATTACTTCTGAGAACTTTTGTTTTCTAAAATTCTTTGAAGTCTCTGTCTAATGATTTATATTTGTTGGTTTGCATAGCAACTATGTTGTTATTTGGTTATTTTCCTTTTCAATGCTAATGTCAAGGTTGTAAATTTTCATTTGAAATCATGTATTTGAAATACTTAAAATTTGTTTGACTTTAATGTCTGTCTAAAGTTTCTTTTTTTTATTATTTAATGTCATTTAACAAAATTTATGGTCAAGATTTCATAAACACCTTTCAAAAGCATATGAATATGAAAATGTTTTCTCAAAAATAATAAATAGCATAATAATAAGAAATGTACATATAAAAATCCTGGAAAATTTTTACAAAAAAGTTATTATCATATTTTTTCAATATTTTTGTATTTTCCCCGAAACTTCTTAATTGACAAACATAATTAATTACTAGCAATTCTAAACAAGTTGCCATGTCAAATTTCAGATTAACTCTCAGACAAATAAACAATTAAATAAACTTTAGAATACAAATCATAAAGTAGATTTTCAACAACTGTTATATTTTAATTCCACCAAAATTCTATCTACTCGAATAAATTTAAAATTTATTCTCCAGCACTTGCAATTCCATTTCAAATGTAAATATTCCCCAGGGGGAATCAGCAATGTTTGTACCTTAAAGTGTTGTAAACAAAAAACCAAAAATGTTTATACTGACACAGGAAAAGGGAAAGCGAGAGCTAGGGATAGAGGGAGGGAAGGAGGAAGATGGTTGGTAAAATGGTTACATCAAAACACAATTTTATTACTTCTGTAAAAACAGCAGGTGATATACTCGTGCAACGCATATGGACACAAAATTGTGTATACAAGTCTATTAATGTTTGATCATAAATATGTATGTGTTTGTACTTGAGTACATAGAAACCACATAACAACTGCAAACGCAAACAACAGATACATAAATACATAGAAGTATGTACATCTTTAGTACTAGGTAACATTATCTGTCAACATGTCATAAAAATGACAAACAAATTTTTGTTAAAAGGTTCAAGGTTAAAGCTAACTGATGAGCTTAACAATAAATACTTATACATCGTGTTTTTCTTAAGATTTTCAACAAAAATGTTTAGAGTAAAAACATTTATTGGTCCCGCCTAATTCAGATCACCTGATAAACATAATTAACTAGAACTGAACTAAAACTGAACTAGAACTGAACTAGAACTGAACTAGAACTGAACTAGAACTGAACTAGAACTGAACTAGAACTGAACTAGAACTGAAACTAGAACTGACTAGAACTGAACTAGACTGAACTAGAACCTGAACTAGAACTGAACTAGAACTGAACTAGAACTGAACTAGAACTGAACTAGAACTGAACTAGAACTGAACTAGAACTGAACTAGAACTGAACTAGAACTGAACTAGAACTGAACTAGAACTGAACTAGAACTGAACTAGAACTGAACTAGAACTGAACTAGAACTGAACTAGAACTGAACTAGAACTGAACTAGAACTGAACTAAACTGAACTAGAACTGAACTAGAACTGAACTAGAACTGAACTAGAACTGAACTAGAACTGAACTAGAACTGAACTAGAACTGAACTAGAACTGAACTAGAACTGAACTAGAACTGAACTAGAACTGAACTAGAACTGAACTAGAACTGAACTAGAACTGAACTAGAACTGAACTAGAACTGAACTAAACTGAACTAGAACTGAACTAGAACTGAACTAGAACTGAACTAGAACTGAACTAGAACTGAACTAGAACTGAACTAGAACTGAACTAGAACTGAACTAGAACTGAACTAGAACTGACTAAACTGAACTAGAACTGAACTAGAACTGAACTAGAACTGAACTAAAACTGAACTAGAACTGAACTAATACTGAACTAATACTGAACTAATACTGAACTAATACTGAACTAATACTGAACTAGAACTGAACTAGAACTGAACTAGAACAGAACAGAACTAGAACTGAACTAGAACTGAACTAGAACTGAACTAGAACTGAACTAGAACTGAACTAGAACTGAACTAGAACTGAACTAGAACTGAACTAGAACTGAACTAGAACTGAACTAGAACTGAACTAGAACTGAACTAGAACTGAACTAGAACTGAACTAGAACTGAACTAGAACTGAACTAGAACTGAACTAGAACTGAACTAGAACTGAACTAGAACTGAACTAGAACTGAACTAGAACTGAACTAGAACTGAACTAGAACTGAACTAGAACTGACCTACAACTGAACTAGAACTGAACTAGAACTGAACTAGAACTGAACTAAAACTGAACTAGAACTGAACTAATACTGAACTAATACTGAACTAATACTGAACTAGAACTGAACTAGAACTGAACTAGAACAGAACTAGAACAGAACTAGAACTGAACTAGAACTGAACTAGAACTGAACTAGAACTGAACTAGAACTGAACTAGAACTGAACTAATACTGAACTAATACTGAACTAATACTGAACTAGAACTGAACTAGAACTGAACTAGAACTGAACTAGAACAGAACTAGAACTGAACTAGAACTGAACTAGAACTGAACTAGAACTGAACTAGAACTGAACTAGAACTGAAGTACAACTGAAATAAAAATACTTATTGAAAACATCTGTAATATACAGCTACACACTGTCAGCGAAAAATATATGAATGTCATTCTGTGAATATTTTTATTAATTTCCTCAAACCAATGAAATTTATGTGAAAAATAGTTTCAGGTATTTTTATTATTATTATTTTTTTTTTTTTTTTTTTTTTTTTGTTCTACAAAAATGTATTTAAATTTAACAAGGTATAATTAATTGTAATGTGATTCAAAGTAAAACAACAACAGCAGCAAAAATAATTTAGTAAAAGAATCATATACGGCAATGAAGACTTTTGAAAGCCTGTAACTGAAAACATTTATGAATAGCAATTGTACTAGATTTGTAGCCGAAATGGCAATCGAGAAAATCGTTTATTACATTATCGCAAGTCATATGAGTTAGATTATGATGTTCTGTTTTTGTGGGAATCCGATTAATGTTTAGTTCTCATTGATATACGAACAATATCAATTTTAAGATTTTTTTTTATTCCAATGTGTATGTTACAAATTTTACGAAGAATTATATATATCTTTTTTATTATTACAACTTGTGGTTTAAATAATAAATAAATAGCAAAAGAAAGGTCTATCGTTTTCATGAACAGTAGATATGTATTTCAATTATTTAAATCCAAATGACCTTCAGCCATACTCGATTCCACTCATACATAATCATGAATATTAAATATCAATGTTTTTCTGATTTTTCCACTTCATAATTGGTTTTTCACTATTTTTCTTTTGTATTGTTTATTACTGAGGTAAATTTCTGTATCCAACTGACTGAACTAGAACTGAACTAGAACTGAACTAGAACTGAACTAGAACTGAACTAGAACTGAACTAGAACTGAACTAGAACTGAACTAGAACTGAACTAGAACTGAACTAGAACTGAACTAGAACTGAACTAGAACTGAACTAGAACTGAACTAGAACTGAACTAGAACTGAACTAGAACTGAACTAGAACTGAACTAGAACTGAACTAGAACTGAACTAGAACTGAACTAGAACTGAACTAGAACTGAACTAGAACTGAACTAGAACTGAACTAGAACTGAACTAGAACTGAACTAGAACTGAACTAGAACTGAACTAGAACTGAACTAGAACTGAACTAGAACTGAACTAGAACTGAACTAGAACTGAACTAGAACTGAACTAGAACTGAACTAGAACTGAACTAGAACTGAACTAGAACTGAACTAGAACTGAACTAGAACTGAACTAGAACTGAACTAGAACTGAACTAGAACTGAACTAGAACTGAACTAGAACTGAACTAGAACTGAACTAGAACTGAACTAGAACTGAACTAGAACTGAACTAGAACTGAACTAGAACTGAACTAGAACTGAACTAGAACTGAACTCGAACTAGAACGAACAGAACTGAACTAGAACTGAACTAGAACTGAACTAGAACTGAACTAGAACTGAACTAGAACTGAACTAGAATACTGAACTGACTAGAACTGAACTAGAACTGAACTAGAACTGAACTAGACTGAACTAGAAACTGAACTAGAACTGAACTAGAACTGAACTAGAACTGAACTAGAACTAACTAGACGACTAGAAACTGAACTAGAACCTGAACTAGACTGAACTAAACTGAACTGACTGAACTAGAACTGAACTAGAACTGAACTAGAACTGAACTAGAACTGAACTAGAACTGAACTAGAACTGAACTAGAACTGAACTAGAACTGAACTAGAACTGACCTAGAACTGAACTAGAATGAACTAGTAAACTGAACGAACTAGAACTGAACTAGAACTGAACTAGAACTGAACTAGAACTGAAACTAGAACTGAACTAGAACTGAACTAGAACTGAACTGAACTGAACTAGAACTGAACTAGAACTGAACTAGAACTGAACTAGAACTGAACTAGAACTGAACTAGAACTGAAACTAGAACTGAACTAGAACTGAAGTAGAACTAAACTAGAACTAAACTAAAATTTCAACTTTAATTGTTACACAGTCTTTCATTCCATTTTCCAATTTGCCAGCTAACACCATATTTTTATATGAAAAATGTATTTATAATATTTTTCTCCTCCATTTATATTCTCCAGGCTCTGGTATGTTGGGTGGCTGGTGGTTTGGCTGTTCGCCCTCATCGCCGGATAGTAATTTTCTACGTGTGGCGAATGCATTTCCCAATCGTCGTTTATCAGACAATACATTAATGACACCAAAAATACGTATTGCACCTTCATGTGCTTCCTCGCCGGGTGGTACGCCCGGCAGTGGTTTGCCAACGCGACGTCATTCCAGCATTGGTCCACAGGAGAGACGTGGCTCAACAATAAATCTATCGCCACCTACGGTAAGTTGTCATTTATTGTTGCAATTGTAATCACACGTTATTATTATTATTATTGATGGTGTATTTATTGTTTTTATTTATTTATTATTTTTTATTTTATTCAGTTGAATATACTTTCAATTCTGTTTGGAATTTATTATCATTTGTTTATTTTAAGTTTTTCTATTGTGAAACGAAACCATAAATTTATTATTTTATTTTTATTGAAGTTATTTACTTTTTTAAAAACATTTTTATTTTGCGGTAAAATTAACAAATGTTATTAAGTTTCCTTAACATTTTTATTAACATTTACAGTAGTGATTAATTTTGTATTGACTGCTGAAATATTATTTTAATAAAATTTTATTAATGGAATGTAAACACAACAAATAAATTGTCACACCTGCTAAAATGATTGTATAAAAGGTACTTTAGGGATTATTAAGCTTTGATTAATGGAAAATTTCTCTATTAGTCTTAAGTTTAACTGTAAGTACCGTAAGCAGTTTCTGGATAAGCTTCCAGGATTAAAAATTCTAGCTATCAACAAGACCAAATATTCAATTTATAGAAAATTTTCGATAAATGTATTTTTTAATAGAATATTTTCCATAAAATGGACTTCTTTATAGAAAATTTTCTATAGAATGTTTTTGATAAAATTTTATTTTTATTTTTACGATTAATAAATCTAATCCTTCAAAGCAGCCAGACGAAAAATTAATCACAACTTAAGCCTTATAAAAAAACAAAAACCTTTTTATTTTATTTATTAAATAATTTATATATCTTTATTTTTAATTTAATAAAAAAATACTAAACTAAACTACATACGTATACAACCATAATATAATTTGATGCTTTTTTGTTGTAACTACAAACTAACTTTACTAACAACTACAGTCAGTAAGAGTCCTTAGTAAAGACCAAATAAAATCCTTAAATATTTTTTTATTATTTCATTACCTTTTTCCCCAAAAACCTTGTTAACAAACAAAATATAAAACACGATTATAGTAAAAAATATATAAAAAAAAAACAATTCCCTTTTAAAACAAAACGTAACACAAATGTATAAAAATACAAACTAACTTTTAAACACTAACCCCTTCAAAAAAATATATGTTTGCCCATTACATAAAACACATCATACATACATACATATTATATATATAATATACATACATACTTTATATACATTTCTCTATATCCAATCACATATTTACTACTTAGGCGTATGGTTTTGGTGCAAGAGGTGGCTCAGGATCAAGTCTTTCGGTTCCCTCATCGTCTGTTTATGTAGTAAGTCTAAAAAACTTAAAAACAATATTAACTTAACAACAAATAAAGCAATAATTAAAAAAAATATAATACATCAAAGGGAACATGATGATAAATATTTATCATTAATATAACAAAAATATGAAAAAGAATTAATTAATAGAAATTACTTACTTGTGCGAGTTGTGATGTTTTTATACAATGTAATCAATTCAACGTATTTACTGCTGTGTATTCTAAATATGATTCCAAAGAAGAAATACAATTGAAACGTTTAAGCGGCAAGGCGACAAAGCGATAATATTACCTCTCTAGATAGATAGATAGATAGATAGATAGATAGATAGATAGATAGATAGATAGATAGATAGATAGATAGATAGATAGATAGATAGATAGATAGATAGATAGATAGATAGATAGATAGATAGATAGATAGATAGATAGATAGATAGATAGATAGATAGATAGATAGATAGATAGATAGATAGATAGATAGATAGATAGATAGATAGATAGATAGATAGATAGATAGATAGATAGATAGATAGATAGATAGATAGATAGATAGATAGATAGATAGATAGATAGATAGATAGATAGATAGATAGATAGATAGATAGATAGATAGATAGATAGATAGATAGATAGATAGATAGATAGATAGATAGATAGATAGATAGATAGATAGATAGATAGATAGATAGATAGATAGATAGATAGATAGATAGATAGATAGATAGATAGATAGATAGATAGATAGATAGATAGATAGATAGATAGATAGATAGATAGATAGATAGATAGATAGATAGATAGATAGATAGATAGATAGATAGATAGATAGATAGATAGATACGAGTCTACAAATCCACTTAGACTACTTTCCACTAGAAAAATTGTTTTGTAGCCCATCGCTTTATCGTTTTCATTGTAAATTATTCTACGATAATCTACTACGTCTCTACTACCTTTGTATGAATGTGTATGTGTTCGGATTGTCATTATATAATTTTTTTTTTTTTGGTTCCCAATAAATATGTATTTTATTATAATCATTATTTATTCTTTTTTGTAATATGTTGTTATTTCTTTATAAGTAAAAAAAGAACAGACAAAAAATATATAAGGTGTCACCTTGTATATAGAAAACATGTATATTTTGACAGTTAATAAATTGTATGGAATTTTTCAAATATTAAACCCAAAAAATAAAAAAAAAACATGAACGTTCTACATGCCACATACATCCATGAATGGAATATGAATATTGCTCGCATTTTCTGATTTTGCCACTTAATATTTTTTTGTGATATCAACTGTTGCTGAGTTTTTTTTTTCGTAAATTACTCTACTGCTGTCTTTATTAAATGATGTATATTTCAAAGTGTAAAAAAATACTGTGATACTGGTTTATTTGCTAACAAAATATTTTCCTATTAAATGTAAAAATAAACTGAAATTCTGACGATGGCGATGATGATGATGATTGTTATAAAAGTTTGTTTTTTCCCATTTTAAGTTAATATTTTTCTTAATTATTTATTTTGTCTTTAATCTGATTATTTTGTATCAAAAAAAAGAATGGTTTGGTTGATTGCATTTTATCATTTGTGTATGTGTTTAATAAATGTTGTATTTACTTATTTTTAATAATACTTTATTATTTTTTGAAATTAAAATTGACATGTTTGTAATTTTCAGATAATACTTATATGTACTGTATATAAGCTAATAATAAGCCGTTATTAATGTCACTTTGAAATGTAAATGAGATTGTTACAAATCATAATATTGTAATAAATTTTAAAATACAAACCACAGGAAGGGTAGGAGTGAAGTATTCTAAAAGCTGTGAAAACTGCTAAAGCTTTCGGTAACAATTCTTATTACTTATTGACCTTATAAAAAAAAAAGCTTAATATAGTTTTCACTTAAATTACTGCTTATGTAAAGAATTCTAAAAGCTCTGAAGACATTTAAAGCTGTGAAGACTCCTAAAGCTTTTCTAATGGATTACGAATAACGCTTCATCACTTCATCTTAAAAAAAATCTTAAAGCTTTTACAAATAATATTTGATATTGTAAAAAATTATGAATACTTATTGTTGTCTCTGAATACTCTAAAAGTTTTGAAGACTCTGAAAGCTTTGTGTAGAATCTTCAAAAAAATTATAAAGCTTTTACAAATAATATTTGTTATTGTAAAAAATTACGAATACTTATTGTTGTCTCTAAATACTCTAAAAGTTTTGAAAACTTTGAAAGCTTTTGTGTAGAATTCTGAAAGCTGTGAAGACTATGAAAGAGTTTGTAAATAATATTAACAACTTTTGTAAAGGTTTACTGGTAATGCCGATCTTAATATTTTCTTATCGATTTATTTCGAATCCTAAAGCTTTTGTTAAGAACATCAAAAGCTCTTGTAAAGTGTTGCTTCATACTAATTGTTCTTTTACCACGTCTGAAACTTTATACTTTTAATTATTTTTAAAGCTCTGAATACTCTAAATGTTTTTAACACTCTGAAAGCTTTTGTGTAGAATTCTAAAAGCTTTGAAGACTCTGAAAGAGTTTGTAAATAATATGAAAAACCTTTATAAAGGTTTACATGTAACGCCGATTGATCATATGGACACAAATATTTCCTCTTAATCTTTTCTTATCGATTTATTTAAAATCCTTAAGCTTTTGTAAAGAACATGAAAGCTTTTGTAAAGAACGCATGCTCTAATAAAGTGTTGCTCCATACTAATTGTTGTTATACCACGTCTAAAACTTTATCTTTTGGGGTTTTTTGAAAGCTTCGAATACTTTAAAACTTTAGAAGTCTCTGAAAGCTTTTGTGTAGAGTTCTGAATGCTATGAAAACTGTAAAAACCTTGAAGTTTTGGTTAGAGTTTATAAATAATATTAAAAGCTTTTATAAAGGTTTGTATGTAACGCCAATTGATCTTGTAAAGTTATCTTCTTTTTTATCAATTTCATTTAGAATCCAAAAGCTTTTCTTAGGAATATTAAAAGCCTTTTATAAAGTATTGTGTCTAATACTTGATTTGTGGATTATTTTTAAAATTACCGCTTAAGTGAAGAATTCTAAAAGCTATAAAGTTTCTTAAAAGCTTTACTAAATAAATAACGACTAGCAAATATTGCTCTAATACTTGATCTTTTGAAATTATGACTTATATAAAGAATTCCAAATGATCTTAAGTTTCTGATATGTTTGTACAACATATTAGAAGCTTTCGTAAAGAATACTATGACTTTAAAAGCTCTAAAAACCCCGAAAGCTTTTGTATATGATTTTCAAAGCTTTGTAAAGAATTATAAAGATCTAATAAGAACGATTTAAATACCACAAGCAGACATCGGTTTATCTCCCCCGATATATCAGCATTTTTTATGAATATGAATAATATTTCTCAAAAAATGTCTGAGCTTTTAAATTTAAACAAAAAAATTTGAAAATAACTGAAAGTTTTCTCCACCTTTTAAACAAAAAGGTATGCAACCTTTTAGAATAGTATTAGTAAAATTTTACATTTCAAACATCTTTAATCCTTACAACAAAACTTGTACTACAAACAACAAACAAAATCAGGCATTATAATTTTATCAATATTATAAAATTTCATAAGCTCTCTCGCATTTTGTTGTCATTTTTTTTACATATTGTAGTAGTTGTTGTAATACCATTTAAGTGAACAACAAGAACAACACAAAACTCTAGGGTATCAAAAGGTTACAAACAAAAGTTTAAAGGGATAAATTGTTGTTAGAAAACAAAAGTGAAAAAATAACAAAATTAAAAAAAAAAAAAAAAAAACAGATAAAAAAGTTTTCAAGCCTGAGAGGTTGCAAGAGTGATTGAACGTGAACAA